GAAAGCAGCCTGTCTGGCCACCTCTCCCTAAATGTCCATCCACCTCGACTGCCCTTAAATAAAGGGCAGCCTCATCAGATGGAGGCACAATGAACTTGAGTGCCCGTCCCAATTGGCTTCAGAGTTAGGAGGTCACAACTCTGGTTCTTCACCTCTGGTGAAGAGGGAGACCTCGAGAAATGGACGGACTTGACTTCAAATTGAGGTCCACCACTTGCAAGCTATGTGACTTTGGGCAAGTTGCCTAATCTTAGCAAGACTCAGTTTCCTTGTGTTTATAAAATGAGAAAATAGTGGTTACTCATCTTCAGACACTAACTCAGAAACCTGGCCCACAGGAGACTCAGTAAATGTCAGGCGTTTTGATGAGTTGGCCACAGACTTCATGTAAGCCAATAGCGTCAAGGACTGGCTCAGCATCTTCAAGCTGTTGGTGCCATGGGCCTCTAGAGCCCAGGTGTCCGCCACTGTCCTATACCTTCATACCCTCCACAGCCTGGGCAAGCCAGTCCTGAGGCCAGCAGGGTGGTGATAGAGAACTCATCAGGAGACACCGCAGGAAAGCAGTCCCTGCAAAGAAAGCTGCACCACCTTGGGCCACTGCCCCTTGACTCCAGGACATCAGCTTGTGCGGCTCACCTCCCTGGCCTCGGTTTTGCTAAGCCAAGAGGCCTTTCCTTATTGTTTCTCCGGGCACACAGCTAGAGTCAGAGACACTGCAGAAAAGGAAAAGGGACACAGGTATCTCATCTGGGTGCACAGAGAAAAACCTAGACTGGCTTTTGGAGCCTGGGGCAGAGGCACTCAGGAATAATGCTGTTTTCCCTCCCATTTAAACCAATTTTAAGTATACGGTTTGAGTCACAACATGCCCATTGTGTGACCACCATCATCATCCATCTCCAGAACTTTTTTCAAGTTGCAGAACTGAAACTCTGTACCCATGAAACACTAACTCCCATTCTTCTTCTCCTTCCAGCTGCTCATAACAATCATTCCGCTTTGTTTCTACAAATTTGACAACTCTAGGTACCTTATGTAAGTGGAACCATATGGTATTGGTTCTTTGGTGATTATGGTTTATTTCACTTAATATAATGTCTCCTTTGCCCATTTTTATTCATTTTTTATTTATTTTATTTTTAAAAAAATATTTTATTTATTTATTTGACACAGATAGAAAGAAAGAGTGAGAACACAAGCAGGGGGAGCAGCAGGCAGAGGGAGAGGGAGAAACAGGCTCGCTGAGCAAGGAGCCTGATGTGGGACTCAATCCCAGGACCCTGGGATCATGACCTGAGCCGAAGGCAGACGCTTAACCAACTGAGCCACCCATTTTTAAATCAAAAAAAATTTTTTTTGTTTTTGTGTTGTAGGGGTTCTTTATATAACTTGCATATTAATCCCTTCCAATTCATCTTTACTGTCTCCTAGTAAAGGCAGCTGACCCCCTAAATCAGGGACTCTCAACACTCATGAAACATCAGAATTACCAAGGAACCGAGGAAATACTGAAGCCCAGGACCTGGGTGGTTCTGAATTAACTGGTCTGTGATGGGCATGTAAGGCATTAGAAGACTTCGCAAAAGTCTCCTTCGAGTGGTTCTCAGATGTATCCAGAGTTGAAACCACTGCTCAAAAGTCTCTGCCCTGCGGGAGGCGCTGCCCTCCCCCACTCACTGCTGAGAAAGTGAGAGGGGATAGATGAGGAAGAGGAAGAGGAAGAGGAATGACGAGTGTCCCCCCCTCCCCCCACGTCCAAGCCCAGGGAGGATGGCAACAAAGTCATAGGAAAGGCAGGCCCCCCTCACTTGGTCACACAGTGCTATCATCAGCCCCGCCACCGATGTATCAGAAGGAAACAACCAACCACTGTCTCCTGAGAAGGCGCAGGAATGACAGACAAGAGAGAAGCCTCGAGCCGCCCGGAAGCCTGAGGGGCAGAGTGCGTGGTGGAAAGCTCTGGGCAGGGAGGAGGGAACCTTGGTTCTATTGCAGCTTTGCCGTCAACTTTCTCTGTGGCTTCTGAAAAGCCAGCTCGCTTTCCTGTGCCCAGGGGTGCCCCTAGAAGAAAGGAAACTGGGTAGCGCCCTGCTTCTCAGCCCTGGCTGGACCTTGGATTCACCTAAGGAGCATTTAAAAAACACTGGCCCTCAGGTCCCACTTCAGAAATTCTGAATGCAGTAGTTTTAGGTCGGGACTGGATGTTGTCATTTGGTAAAGTTTCCAGGTGATTCTACACAGCTAGGGTTAGAGCCATGTCTAATCGTTCTCCCACGTGTCCTCCTCAGTGTTAACATTCTGAGGTTCTTCTGCCTCCATTTCTGGGGGCAATGGTCATCGCCTGAGCACTCATGTGGCGCTTGGCACCTCCTACAGATACTGCCCTCTCACAGCCCACAGGCACACTGACCTGATGCTCTCTGCAAAGGTGAAGAGGACTAGTTCCCTTCTAAGAACCGAAAAAGAAACAGATTCTGACCTCTAGTGACCTGGGATGAGGCCACAAGCCCAGAAGAATGTTTTATTCTCAGCCCAGCTGTGCATTGAAAGGAGGAGCGCCTGCCGGAGACAGATCAGCTGGGAGGAGGAAAGGCCAGGTGGCCGGCAGGCAGCTGGGTGGGATGGGAGAAGGAGTTTCTGCTAAGAGGCCAGTACTTCGGGCAGAGGGGGGCACTTTCCAAGCTGGGGGGCGGGGGTGGTGCACAAGGTCACAAACTTTCAGAAGAGTTCTTGTTAGGGTCCTAAGGGCTACCCCATGGTGCCCCAACTGCCAGGACTTGGACCCCCAGGTGTACTAAGCCCACACGGGGGAGAGGGCGGTGGGAGCTCACAGGCTGCCCTCTGAAGTCCCCCCCTCAGTGGCCTATGCTTGGAGAGAGGGGAACCAGCCTGCCAACAAATAGAGCCAAGGAAATGGGTGGTAGGCACTGGTAGGGGACTGCCTTTAAGAAGCATGCAGGCTGGTGGAGAGAGCTGGAAAATTCCATGCCTGCCTCCCTCCCTATCTCTTGTCCACTCTATTCCATCCCTCCTCCCTAGTGTCCCTTGTCCCTTACCTCTCCACCATCCCCACTAGAGGTCTCACCCTGGATCACAGACCCCATCTGACAGCTCTCTGCTTCTGCACTGTGAATTTACTCCTGCCACGTTCTGCAAGCAGTAGGGACCCACCTGTGGGAGGCCAGGAGGGGATCTAGGGTCCACAGGCTGGGGAGGCCAGGCCTAAGTCTAGAAGTCCCAGCTCTTCTCTGGAAGTAGAGCCATTCCTTCTGGAACCACCCACACCTGCAGACCTACCCCCCACTGCCCCCACACAGGACGTGCTGTCCTTGGTTTTGTCTCCAAAGATGGGGGTCTCCAGAAGGGATGTGGGGGAGTTTGCAGCTATTTTGCTGACTGACCAAGGACAAACAATATAACAACTAGACCATGTACAGCATGCGGGCCGGGCACTGTTCCAAGTGCTGTGTGTACTTCACATCACCCCCGCCCCTCACAATTCTTGCCCCGTTGTGCCCCAGTTTCCCCTCAGTCAGACTTCCAACACAACCACATTCCTGAGTTTCACAGATCATCTCTTCCCTGATACTGTGAGTTTCTCCAGTGGCGACCTCAAGGACCCAGGGGCCGTAGCAACAATTCAGACTCCATGCAATTTCCTGACCCCGTCCCTCCTCGGTTTTCAGAGAAAAGGGGGAAGTAGGTGATGGCTGAACTGGGGGAGAGGGACACGTGTGTGTGTGTGTGTGTGTGTGTGTGTGTGTGTGTGTGTGTGTGTTTAGAGAAGAGAATCAGGTTTTAGTTCCCAATTTTCTCCTGGTGGAAAAAACGCCAGGGCCACTCTTGGAGGAGTCAGGCAGCATGAATAATGCAACCTGCTACCGCCATCTGGTGGATGAAAGGAGGAAGTCAGGCTGTGGAGGCGGACCAGATGGAATTCGAGAAGCAGGACTATTTCAGAAGTGTACTTGGCCCTCTCAGTACCTACCAGGAAGTCTGTCAGTGGGTCTCCATGGTGACCCTGGTGTCCCTGGCTCCCAACAGGTCCCTACCCTCTTTCCATGTCATAAATACCCAGCACGGGTCTGCACGGGAAGTCTCCCCTGATGTAGATCATCTGGCCAGTTAAGAAAATAAGCTCAGAACCAGGAGAACTTGGTGTTGCTCTCTGGGCCTCAGCTTACTCGACATAATGACTCGGTGAAAGCCTTTCAAGCCCCTGGCAGCCTTGTCTTTTGAAGTTAGTGGTTCTCATACTAGAGTGAGCGTCAGAGTCCCTGGAGGGCTTATTAGAACACAGACCATTATCCCCCCACCCACAAGGCGTTCCTGACCCAGTAGGTCCAGAGTAGGGTCTGAGAATTCACGTTTCTAAAGGTTCCCGAGGCATGCTGATGCCGCCAATCCAGAGACACCCTTCACCTTGGAGAGTCACTGTTCTAACTAGTTCAGTCTCCTTGGTGTGAGGGGAAAGTGGACAAACAAACAGGGAGTTTATAGAAAATAAATAACAGAGCTTAAATAAAACAGAAGCCAGGGCTCAAATAACTTATCCATTAGAACTCTGTAAGTAAATGTCTCGAACCGTGGCAGGGCTGAGGGGAGCGTCAAACCCGTTGGGGAGCCCAGCATAGCTCTGGAGCAGGAGTGTGGGTCAGCACAGAAGGGAGAAGGCTAGGTGCTGGCCACGGGTACAAGAAGACTTTTCTGAATGTCATGGGAGAGCTGGAAGAGGTCTTAGAGGCCATCCAATTCAGCTTTCATTTCAAGATGGACTCACTTGAAGTGAGTTACGTGACTTTTCCAAAGTCACACAGCCGCTAGATAGCTCTTTCTCTTCACATTCCCAACCCATTCCCTTCACAAGCAGATCCCAGAGGAACCCCACAAGGCCTAATGGGTTCACGAGACAGGTTAGTTCTGTGACGTTCTGGGGTTAGGGTGGGCCAGCACCCCAGCGGCCCTCTGCACGTGCCCACCCCCTCAGTTCCCCCTACCTTTCACCAAGGGGAAGAAGCAGTCCATCTCCACGCTGCTTCGGGAGTGGGAGATGCACAGGGCGCTGCTGGGAACCAGGCCCTCCTGGGGGGGGCTCCGTTCCGTGGTGCGGACCAGACACCAGCCTGGTCGCTCGCTGGGCCGCTCCAGCAGTTCCACCGTCTGCCCCACCTGGATGGTCAGCTCGCTGCTGTGGCCCGCGTTGAAGTCCTGGAGGACCACGGTCAACTCACATCCACCAGAGAGCTTGGGGTAGGGCGTGGAGTGAAATGGGGGACATGGGATGGTGGGCCAGAGGGGAAGGGAGAAAGGATGCATGCAGAGAAGAAGAGGAGGAGAGGAAGACAAAGGGGGAAAGATGGGATTCAGAGTGGAAAGAAGGCAGAAGATGGAAAAGGGAGTGGGAATGGGAAAGAAAACAAGAAAATAAAGTAATTGACACAATGCCACTCAATCATCCCGCCGCGCTAGCTTGGGCCACAGTCTGGAGCTTGCCCAGGACTGAGCCTGATTCTAAATCCTCCTGGAGTTATTCTCATTTTCCTTTGCTAAGCTTCCAGCTAACTGGGCCCTCACCCCCTTCTCCAGTAAGTCTCTTCACTTCTTTATCCCATCCCCGCCCCTGTAACCTCCCTCTGACTCTGCCTGGGCACCATTTCTAACTCACTCATTTTTACATGCTTCTAGTTGAAGTTTGGAAATAATGGAAGAGACGATCTCCTTCCTCCTAACCTTTGCAACCTTCCCTGTCTCCATCCCTCGCTGGACCCATCCGCCGAAAACAGAGGCTGCCAGTGACACAAAAAAGGAGGCATCGAGTCAAAGGAGAAGCAGAGCAGAAGAAGAATAGAATTGGCTTCCCTTAGCCCAGCCACTGGGGACCAGGGAAAAGAATGGGAAGGGAAAAAGAGGGGTCACATCGTACTTAGGAACCATCCTCAGTGCCCCGTCACGCCCTCCCCCTGGGCCTGGCCCTTCCCCACTGGACTGGTTCTGGGGCAGAACCAACAAAACTGGTGGGAGAGACCCCAGGATAAGAACCACCTCTTCTAGCTGAACACCAAGACCTTCACTTCTCACCAGGAAGAACCACGAGTTATTAGTTTGTCTCACAGAGCCAAGCACAAAGCCTTTTTTCCCTTGAAACAGCAGCTGCCCCTGCGTCTCTAATGGAAGCCTCCAGGGCCCGCGTCGTCTGCACCAGCAGCCCTACTCATGCACTAATCCAAATCCATGGCGTATCCTGGGAGGCTTCCGCTGAGTGTAAAACACAGTGAGCACCCAGTAAGGGCTGAATCAACAGTCCCACCAGGCCCCAGCGTTCTGCACTCAGGACTGAGAGAATTTCCTATTAAAGGAACCTGAACGTCACAGTGGGCTTGAGAAGGCTCAAGCATGCATCAGACGGACAGCTGCCCTATGTATCACCATCAATCAATCACTGGGCAGGGAGCCCACTTGAAACACATGTCCGTGGATGGGCATGGTGCTGCCACGGAGACTCGAGTGGGAAGAGAAATTTGGAGGACAGAAGTTGGAAGAGGGAAAGAGACAGAAGTAGAAAAGACGCCCATTGGCTCATTTCCCTATTTAACTTTCTTGGTGCCGTCAAATGCACAGACTCTCCCCCTACCCCACCCCACCCCGTCCCCTTCTGGCGCTCTCTTCCCCCAAAGCATCATTTTGAGAAGGATGTTGTAGGATGGTGATACCTCAGGTCTGTAGACTTGAGTACCTTCACATTAACTCTCCACTTGGTCCTCACAATGACCAGGTGCTGTCACCATCTCCGCCTCACCCATCAGAACTTTAAGCTCAGAAATGTCAAGACCATTGGTTGGCATAACGAGCGTGCATAAAAGGTGCCTAAGGAGTTTATTAAACATGCAGATGGCTTGGCTGGTCCCTCGCTTGTCCTAGTCCCCAATCACAAGTTATGATTCAGGAGACCCAGGAAAGCCTAATTCACAAGACTCCCCCAACTCATGATCCGGAAAAGGGGGTCCCTGAGATGCTGCCTGAGAAAAACCAGCCGGACGGTTTCCCATGGTCACCCAGCTGGACTTGAACCCGGCCCTAGACCACAAATACCATGTTCTTTACACGACATACCAGAGCAAATTATGTGTAAGTTTTAGGTATGTTTGTGGTTGGAGGGGTGGGAGGGAGGTGGAGAGAAGGCATCATTGGCCTGTGCGATTGGTCTTCTCAGGGTTGGCTTGGCCTGTACCAAGTTGCTTACACTTTCTGGACTGCAGTTTCTATCTTGACCGGAATACTACATAGCAACAGCTACATCACAGAAACACAAGTTTCACTGAGCTAATTTCATTGATACTCTATTTCACTTTTTTCCCCCCTCAGTTGCTGCTGGCATCTAGCTAAGTTGATTCCACTTTCCACTGATGGAAATTTGCAGTATTTGCAAATTCCATTTGTAGGATGTTGGACTAGCTGACCACAAAATTTCCTGCTTACTCTGAGAATTTCTATCACCGAGCTTCTATGGTTCATGGAGTCACTCCTCTGTGCCAACCTCAGGATTCTCTCCCAAGATCAAGTGTGCACAGGGCCCTAGATGCAACTTGCAGCCCTTTCAGGGATGGAAATGGCCCCTTTGCAGACTGTTGCAGCAAAGCAGAGGGAGCCTGAGGTCCCAGGTGCAAACAGCCCAGCAGGTCACCAGACCACTGTGATCAGTTTCTTAGAAAAGTACAAGTGCAGTTTTCTTTTCCAGCAGTTCTACGGCAGGTCAGCAGGTCTGTCTGGCAGAGCCCCGGGGTCATTACTTTCTCTTCCCATCTGGTAAAGGACCAGTGACCATGTCCCCCCACTCTCCCTGTCCCTTCCCTTATTCCATGCTGCCCTCTGTTACAGTGGCACTTTCAGAAGGTCCCCATTTCTCTCCCCGAGCTGATCTCTGGCTCTTCAGAGAATGTTGCAAACAACATCTTTGTTTTCACCTCATTCTTCTCTTGCCCACAGCCTTTAAGAACTATTTCAATGTCCCCTGCAAATCTTTAAAATGTTGCCCCAGTGAACCATATTCCTTTTGACAGGCTAAGACCAGGGGGTGTGGAGGGAGGGGGCCCGACCTCTCCCCATCGCAGACATCCCAGTTGATTCGACTGGTGTCGGGAAGGGCTATCACACCCTGCTCAGAACGCCAAGGCTGCATCATATTCGTACTGGCTATTTTCAGACTATTGGCTATGGATGCTTAACTTCCAATCTACCAATTCGATCCCACTCTAGATTCTAAGACCAAACTTACTCTCAGGAGGGAAATGCTGGGAACCTTGAGTTCGTATCGCAGACTCTCAGCATGAAGTCAGGTGTTTCTGAGTCTTCTTGGACTCTGCACCCCAGTTTCTATAATCTTCTCTCCCCTTATTCCCTTCACTGTGTACCCCCAACCCCCTGCCCAGTCTCTGACTTGGCCCCTTCCTGGATGCTTCTCAGGTGTTTTCTTTGCCTAGCTCCCTAGGACCTTGCCTAGGGCCTCCTAAACCTTTCTGACGGTAATCACGACTTAGATTTCTGCATGGCCCACCCCAACCCCTGCTGCTGAGTCCTCATCTTCTCTTCCCCTGACTTTTCCAGCCTCTCTCCCCTCCTGGGTCCTGACCATTTCCTGTGGAACCTGTTCCCATATGCCCAGTCCTTGGGTGGAATTTCTGTCCTCCCCCCTCCCTGTCAGGTGCTCCCAGGTGGCCCTCTCTCCAACAGGTACCATTACACATACAGAGAAGACTTCATAAACATTCTTACTCATACTCACCAGAAACTATTGCTTCCATTCAGGTCCACTTTTGCTTGATTACTATTTTGGACATTTCCTGATCTCCTTTGTGTATAAACAGCAGGAGCTAGATTACCCCTAAGAACTTCCTCATGTTATGGAAAAAGATCTGATTATTCTCTGTGGGGTTTCTAGGAATATTCAGAGGTAGAACACGAACCAGCCAGCATTCTTCTATTGTCATTTCAGCCCCCCAAGCCTCTGCCTGCCCCTCAGTCTCCACCAGATTCTCCTGAGGGCTATGGACTCTGGAGTTCTTTAGTGGTGGTGTGACCAGGAGTAAGTTGCTTAACATCTTGGTCTCAGTTCCCTCATCTGTGGAATGGGGTATAACAGTATCTGCTTCACAGCTTGCTATGAAGATTAAATGGGATAATTTTTTTTTTTAAGTTGGCTCCATGCCCAACATGGAGTTTGAACTCACAACCCAGCCAACCAGGCACCCCAATGAGATAATTTTTTTAAAGATTTTATTTGTTTAGAGAAAGAAAGTAAGCAAGTGTGAGTGAGAGGAGGGGCAGAGGGAGAGGGAGAGGGAAAGAATCTCAAGCAGACTCCCCACAGAGTGTGGAGCCCAACGAGGGGCCCCATCTCAGGGCGCTGAGATCATGACCTGAGCCAAAATCAAGAGTTGGATGCTCAACTCACGGAGCCACCCAGGCGCCCTGAGATAATATTTTTAAACCAGTTAGGGCAGTGTCATCAACAGACTAAGCTCTCTAAATACTTGTTTATAAATAAATTCTAGAGGTATTAATTAATTATTATCATTATTTAAATTTGAGGGGAAAGTTACAAGTAGAGAAGAAATGGTAAAAAGGAATCGAATGTCTAGAAATAGACTGTACCAGATGTAAATAGGCAGGTAAATTATTATGAAGGTAAATCAAATCCTTTTCTCTTTTTATAATCTTAATGGAGTCTTGCCCTAATAACCTAGGCCAATGAGAAGAAGTGGCCTGAAGGATTCTAGGGAAGGTGACTCAGATGCCTTTAAGAGTCTGCATTGCTTTCCATGCACCATCCGTCTGAGGAACGCCCCTGCCCAAGAGCCTGACAGATGGCCATGACACCTGCCACCAGGCCTGCTGACCCAGTGCTTCACCCATCAGGTAAGTCTGACTTCCACTCCCTCCCCTGGCTGCCTGCCCTCTGATCCACTCTAATTCCTCCCCCGCCCAGCGCCACCCCCCCTCCCCGGGCTCAGCCAGGGCTCGAGGCACAGAGTTCTCTGCATTAACACCTGCCTGTGAATGGCAACGTGGGAGGCCAGAGCTGGCCTTAGAAAAGCATGAATTTGGGGGCGCCTGGCTGGCTCAGTGGGTTAAGCCTCTACCTTTGGGTGGGGTCATGGTCTCAGGGTCCTGGGATCGAGCCCCACATGGGGCTTTCTGCTCAGCAGGGAGCCTGTTTCCCCTGCTCTCTCTGCCTGCTTCTCTGCCTA